GCCATATATGGCTCTTCCAGTGACGGCATATGGCTCCCAGACAATTTTGAGATGAAAAAAAAATCAGTTTGGAACTGATTTTAAAATACTTGTGATATTGCTTAATAATACTGTGTCGTTTTAAAGTAAACAGAAATTAGTTTTGAAGATAAATTTCACAGGTCACGCCTGCATGAAGCTCAACCTCACCACGTATGAACCAGACTACAAGGCCATCAGCAAAACCATGCAGCACCAGAAGTCGCATTGAAAGTAAGACATATTTCATTTATTATACGTTAAAAATACTATATGGCTCTTAATGAAATATATTTAGAAATATTTGGCTTTCATGGCTCTCCCAGTCAAAAAGGTTCCCGACCCCTGCACTACTGCATGAGAGATTCCGATTGTTAAATGGCTGCTTGCGATGACGCCATCCGAACTTTAGCTCATCACGTCTGGGGTTTGTTTAATCCATACTTCACCACACTGGTCAAGGCAGACTGGGGAAGGGGGGGGGGGCCCAGGACTGATGCACATTTCATTCGCCAATGAAGTTCGCCATGTGCAGAATTCCAATTCAGGTCACCAGGTTCATAACGCAGCGTGCTATCCACTGCGCCACCACCTCTTTCTTTGTCGATCACATACACGTAATGATGCATCATCAATCAATCTATATATATAAAAAGGAAATTTGTGAATATGTGTGTCTGTTCAAAATGTTTAGCAAACTTCCTGACATGCAACAAACTTGAAATTTGCCATGTGGATACTTTCCAGACTGTACACCATGCAAAAATTATAAAAATAGACTTTTGTATTTTTTTGGGAGGTGGGGGGGGGGGTGCGCAATAATGCATACATTTTGCACGGCAAGTGAGCTGTGACGTCACATCTGTCATGTCACCCGCGCATGTGGAAGCGTCACGCAGTGTGCCTGCTGACGTCACGCACCCCCCCCCCCCTCTACCCTCCGCGTAGGCCGTGTATCAATCTAAGACAAGAATCCAAGTTCCTGACACATAACGTCGCACTCATCACACACAAATTGCTCACCGCAAATTAACCACAATACCTTGCTGATCTCTTCAAGGAGCATAAACCATCACGCAAACTCCGGTCGTTCCTCGCAGCGGCTTTTGGCTGGTCGTCGAACAAAGACGGTCACTGCATCGCGTGCTTTCAACGGTGCCATCTGGAATGCTCTTCTAATTTGAGGAAGGCACTGGAGCTTGCACTTTCAAATGTAGATTGTAAACTAATTTCTTTACAGCTGCTTTTGTTTTTAGTTTGTTGTCCTTCCCCCGCACCTCCGATTAGCACAGTTGGCTACGTACGGTACGAAAGAAGTTCAACACACATGCATCGAATTGCATGTGTAACAATCATGTATGACTTATGAAGGGTTCCATGCATATTATGTGCAAATGTTACAACGCAGTCAACATAGCGAAACAAACAAGACAGAAATATAAAATGAAAAGGTAAACCTTAGACAGAAAAGAGCATGTCCTTGAATCAAGTCGTGCTCGATTCGTGACAATTCGTGAAATCGCAGCGGTAAGGAAGAATGGTTTGCATGCATCATTCATTTATTTCAAGTCTATTCAACCTCATTGTGATATTTTAACCCATACCCACATACATCTGTGTTTTCTTTACATGCCGATAAAGTTCGACCCCTGAGAATGCGTGATTTTCTGCAACTTATTAATATTCCGTTAATTCAACAACGCACCACTAACTGTGAGTTGTATGCACGGTCCACGATTTGTTGTTAAAATCTCCAGCACATCACAAGATGCAGAACGTCACGTACCCGGAAATTGCATTCGATAGCGGTGAATGTTCACGATACATTCATCAAATTGCACACTTAATGCATTCACGGTGTATGCAGTTTTGGGCACAAATGATATGCAGATTACATAGTTAGGCGAATTCACTGAACAAACCTACAGTGAGGGAAAAAAGTATTTGATCCCCTGCTGATTTTGTACGTTTGCCCACTGACAAAGAAATGATCAGTCTATAATTTTAATGGTAGGTTTATTTGAACAGTGAGAGACAGAATAACAACAACAAAATCCAGAAAAACGTATGTCAAAAATGTTATAAATTGATTTGTATTATAATTGAAATAACTATTTGACCCCCTCTCAATCAGAAAGATTTCTGGCTCCCATGTGTCTTTTATACAGGTAACGAGCTGAGATTAGGAGCACACTCTTACAGGGAGTGCTCCTAATCTCAGCTTGTTACCTGTATAAAAGACACCTGTTCACATCAGCAATCAATCAATCAGATTCCAAACTCTCCACCATGGCCAAGACCAAAGAGCTCCCCAAGGATGTCAGGGACAAGATTGTAGACCTACACAAGGCTGGAATAGGCGACAAGACCATCGCCAAGCAGCTTGGTGAGAAGGTGACAACAGTTGGTGCGATTATTCGCAAATGGAAGAAACACAAAAGAACTGTCAATCTCCCTCGGCCTGGGGCTCCATGCAAGATCTCACCTCGTGGAGTTGCAATGATCATGAGAACGGTGAGGAATCAGCCCAGAACTACACGGGAGGATCTTGTCAATGATCTCAAGGCAGCTGGGACCATAGTCACCAAGAAAACAGTTGGTAACACACTACACCGTGAAGGACTGAAATCCTGCAGCGCCCACAAGGTCCCCCTGTTCAAGAAAGCACATATACATGCCCGTCTGAAGTTTGCCAATGAACATCTGAATGATTCAGAGGACAACTGGGTGAAAGTGTTGTGGTCAGATGAGACCAAAATGGAGCTCTTTGGCATCAACTCAACTTGCCGTGTTTGGAGGAGGAATGCTGCCTATGACCCCAAGAACACCATCCCCACCGTCAAACATGGAGGTGGAAACATTATGCTTTGGGGGTGTTTTTCTGCTAAGGGGACAGGACAACTTCACCACATCAAAGGGACGATGGACGGGGCCATGTACCGTCAAATCTTGAGTGAGAACCTCCTTCCCTCAGCCAGGGCATTGAAAATGGGTCGTGGATGGGTATTCCAGCATGACAATGACCCAAAACACACGTCCACGGCAACAAAGGAGTGGCTCAAGAAGAAGCACATTAAGGTCCTGGAGTGGCCTAGCCAGTCTCCAGACCTTAATCCGAGTCTCTGATAGGGTCTCTAGACAATAGATTGGCACGGCAGCCTCTGATAGGCTCTCTAAGACAATAGCTTGGCACAGCAGTCTCTGATAGGGTCTCTAGACAATAGATTGGCACGGCAGCCTCTGATAGGGTCTCTAGACAATAGCTTGGCACAGCAGCCTCTGATAGGGTCTCTAAGACAATAGCTTGGCACGGCAGCCTCTGATAGGCTCTCTATGACAATAGCTTGGCACGGCAGTCTCTGATAGGCTCTCTAAGATAATGGATTGGCACAGCAGCCTCTGATAGGGTCTCTAAGACAAGGGATTGGCATGGCAGCCTCTGATAGGGTCTCTAAGACAATGGATTGGCACAGCAGCCTCTGATAGGGTCTCTAAGACAATGGATTGTCACGGCAGCCTCTGATAGGGTCTCTAAGACAATGGATTGTCACGGCAGTCTCTGATAGGCTCTCTAAGATAATGGATTGGCACAGCAGCCTCTGATAGGGTCTCTAAGACAATGGATTGGCACAGCAGCCTCTGATAGGGTCTCTAAGACAATGGATTGTCACGGTAGCCTCTGATAGGCTCTCTAAGACAATGGATTGGCACGGCAGTCTCTGATAGGCTCTCTAAGACAATGGATTGGCACAGCAGCCTCTGATAGGGGTCTCTAAGACAATAGATTGGCACGGCAGCCTCTGAGAGGCTCTCTAAGACAATAGCTTGGCACAGCAGCCTCTGATAGGCTCTCTAAGACAATGGATTGGCACGGCAGCCTCTGATAGGCTCTTTAATACAATGGATTGGCACGGCAGTCTCTGATAGGGTCTCTAAGACAATAGATTGGCACGGCAGTCTCTGATAGGGACCTCTAGACAATAGATTGTCTGATGGTGGTCTGCAGACCAAACACAAACAGCCTCTGCTGAACGTACCAAGGTCAAAGTGTGTCCGTGCAGCAAAGAGCATGGGGAAAGTGATCCATTTCTGTCAGCGGCCCTGGGCCATCGCTGAAAAACTCCACATTCCTATGACGAGGGACAGACTCTCCGCCACGCATAGGTAACAAATAACAATCACTGGTGACTTGCGGAAAAAAAGTTGTGCAGGTTGTATTGATCACGGAAGGGCGACGGGCTGAGTCGATCCCGCTTACGATGGAGAAATCGGCATGCAAGCCACAGCGCCACAGACGAATTTAACCTTGGCCGAGGCTCCTCCTCATTGCTCCCAGCAAATTTGTGCTAAAAAAAAAATCACTCTCACGTATTACAGTGCCTAACCGTAACCCCTACCCGAAACAATAACTCTAAACCCTAACCACGAATTCTAACCCTAACACCCAAACCTAAGCCATGAGCCCACGAGTAGCACGGTTGGCTACGTACGGTGCGAAAGAAGTTCAAAATACAGTACATACATATGAACCTCGCTAATAACTATACACCCTAACCCTCTATGTATGTTGAACTAATTTTTCACCGTATGTAGCCAACCATGCTTATCGTAGGTGCGGGTCAAGGACAGCCAAAACCATAACCCTTAAACCTAAGCCATGAACCCGATTAATAACCATAAACCTCAGCCATAATCCTAAGCTCTAACCCTAAACCTTAACCCCAAACCTCAGCTATAACCATAAACCCTCGGCAAAAACCCCTGACTATAAACCCTCGCTCCCTAATTATTTAACTGTAACCCCGAACCCTAACCGCAATGCTTCAGCCCTGCGCCGTAAGTGAAGAAGCGACCACGCGTCAATATTTCACGCACTGAAATCCAAGGAAGAAGCGCACCGCACAAAACACCTGGTCTACGATCGGGTCAAGATCTGTAGGGACAGCACGGGTTACTTGTGTCACGTCCTTAGACATGATTACCTTGAGACAATGTGGAGACTTGGCGATGAGCAGTAAGAGTCCAGTAGGAGACACGGTAGTGGTGAGCAGTCGAGGGGCGCTACGTGTCCCCTTTAGAGACAGCATTCCACATTGAGCCACGTTTAGACGCGGCTGCTTCCATCCTTGCAGCGTTGGAAATAACCGGCGGTCGAAAATAGCCGCAGCGTCAGCCATCCAGCCACCGCTGACTCCGATTAGTGACGCCAGCATCAGCATAACCACAAGTCTACCAGAGCTACCACGGACACAGGCATCGTTACCACGAACTTTCACCACAACTACCACGAGCACAATCACCACAGTTACCACGAACTACACCACAACTACCACAGACACAGGCAGAGTTACCACGAATTCCACCACAACTACCACGAGCAAAACCACCATAGTTACCACGAACTCCACCACAGTTACCACTAACACCACCACAGTTACTACGAACTCCACCGCAGTTACCACGAACTCCACCACAGTTACCACGAACTCCACTGCAGTTACCACGAACTCCACCACAGTTTCCACGAACTCCACCACAGTCACCACGAACTCCACCACAGTTACCACGAACTCTACCACAGTTACCACGAACTCCACCACAGTTACCACGAACTCCACCACAGTTACCACGAACTCCACCACAGTTACCACGAACTCCACCACAGTTACCACGAACTCCACCACAGTTACCACGAACTCCACCACAGTTACCACGAACTCCACCACAGTTACCATGAACTCCAACACAACTACAACGAACTCCACCACAGTTACCACGAACTCCACCACAGTTACCACGAACTCCACCACAGTCACCACGAACTCCACCACAGTTACCACGAACTCCACCACAGTTACCACGAACTCCACCACAGTTACCACGAACTCCACCACAGTTACCACGAACTCCACCACAGTTACCGGGAACTCCACCACAGTTACCACGAACTCCACCACAGTTACCACGAACTCCACCACAGTTACCACGAACTCCACCACAGTCACCACGAACTCCACCACAGTTACCATGAACTCCAACACAACTACAACGAACTCCACCACAGTTACCACGAACTCCACCACAGTTACCACGAACTCCACCACAGTTACCACGAACTCCACCACAGTTACCACGAACTCCACCACAGTCACCACGAACTCCACCACAGTTACCACGAACTCCACCACAGTTACCACGAACTCTACCACAGTTACCACGAACTCCACCACAGTTACCATGAACTCCAACACAACTACAACGAACTCCACCACAGTTACCACGAACTCCACCACAGTTACCACGAACTCCACCACAGTTACCACGAACTCCACCACAGTTACCACGAACTCCACCACAGTTACCACGAACTCCACCACGGTTACCACGAACTCCACCACAGTTACCACGAACTCCACCACAGTTACCACGAACTCCACCACAGTCACCACGAACTCCACCACAGTTACCATGAACTCCAACACAACTACAACGAACTCCACCACAGTTACCACGAACTCCACCACAGTTACCACGAACTCCACCACAGTTACCACGAACTCCACCACAGTTACAAAGAATTCCACCATGGTTACCACGAACTCCACCACAGTTACCACGAACTCCACCACAGTTACCGGGAACTCCACCACAGTTACCACGAACTCCACCACAGTTACCACGAACTCCACCACAGTTACCACGAACTCCACCACAGTTACCAAGAACTCCACCATGGTTACCACGAACTCCACCACAGTTACCACGAACTCCACCACAGTTACCACGAACTCCACCACAGTTACCATGAACTCCACCACAGTTACCACGAACTCCACCACAGTCACCACGAACTCCACCACAATTACCACGAACTCCACCACAGTTACCACGAACTCCACCACAGTTACCACGAACTCCACCACAGTTACCACGAACTCCACCACAGTTACCACGAACTCCACCACAGTCACCACGAACTCCACCACAGTTACCACGAACTCCACCACAGTTACCACGAACTCCACCACAGTTACCACGAACTCCACCACAGTTACCACGAACTCCACCACAGTTACCACGAACTCCACCACAGTTACCACGAACTCCACCACAGTCACCACGAACTCCACCACAATTACCAAGAACTCCACCATGGTTACCACAAACTCCACCACAGTTACCACGAACTCCACCACAGTTACCACGAACTCCACCACAGTTACCGGGAACTCCACCACAGTTACCACGAACTCCACCACAGTTACCACGAACTCCACCACAGTTACCACGAACTCCACCACAGTTACCACGAACTCAGTGTTGTCTATATTTATTTAAAGTTGCGCATTTTGATGTGACGTCACATTTCTCACCCCCCCCCCCCGTCAGAAATCGTCACAAATGTCTGACCCCCCCCCCCCCCACCTAGGTGCGTGACGTCATTTATGGACGGTTCCTATCATCACCATCGTCACTACCACCCCGCTACGATCACCACTACCATAACTAATGCATCCATTCCTAACCACAATCACAAATACAAAGATCCCCCATATAGCCTCCAACCGACTATAAGGGCAAGTGCTGTTAAGCGAGCGCCTATCAAGGCTGGAACGGTACACGAGGGGGTGGGTGGCCAGCACCATGCCCGACCGCCTTTGTCTCCCCAGTGGCGATATTTATACACCGCAGTGTGTTTATTTATCAAATGTAACAAACAGACAAAATGAGCAACACGTGTATTATGGATTGCAGCAGGTACAAATTGAACATTCATGATAATAATTAGAGAAAGGCAAATTATAGATTTCTTGGAATTGTAATGCTAAAACAAGACACTGAAATATAAATGTTCGACTGGGAACGTTATAGATAAAACACGGGGATGACGGCGAATTGAGTTACATAAGCAATTTAAACAATTTGATGCAACGGGGACCATCCAATAATAAAGTTCTTGAGTAATATCAATGACAGAGCTAAATAGAAGAAGGCCCGGTGGGCTTTGAGAAAGGACATATGGCGCATATGGAGAGATTTTTGTTAAAATGTAAAAAAAATTCAAGTGTTAAAACTGGTTGAGGGCATTCAACGGGCATCAAAAAAAATTCCGTGGGTAGGGGAGAAAATGCCCCCCCCCCCTTTCCTCCCCCCCACCCCACCTTGACCACCGCTGTGAACCATTCTTTTTTTATTAAATCCTTTATATTAAGTTCGCTTGCTTGCTTGCGTGTTTGCGTGCTTGCTTGCTTGCTTACGACCGTGCAAATCTTTCGGTCGTTTTGTAACCCACTTCCCGTGATCCAATCGAGCTGACATTTTGCACACAGACTCGTTGTGCGAGACAATTAATGTTCGTGAAATTTTTTTTCCAAAATTTTACACTGTTTAGGGAAAACAAATTTAATATTTAATTACCAATTGCTTAATACTGGCAGACAATCATCTGACCCATAGGTGGCAGCCATCTCAAGCCAGAGGACGAGAGGACTCTAGCCGCCACGCATATAAAGGATTTACAGTGAAAAACTTTATTTTTACGGGTTATACTTTTTGTTCAGTTTGCTGTCCTTCCCTACCCCCCGCACCTCCGATTAGCACGGTTGGTTACGTACGTGCGTGCATCAACATTGTCACCATTGGCACCGCTGCCGTGATTTTACAATAGATCACCATCGTGATCTAAAAACGCCTCCAGAACAATGTCTAAGTTGGGCCGCGTCTGCCCGCTCGCCCGCCCGCCCGCGTCTCTCTTTCACTGCCAGCCGTGGAAGCACTAGAATGTCCCTTGTGCCGGACCCGTAGCGAGGAATGTTGTGAGTGCTTTGCGTCATTTCAACCAAAGGAGAAAGACCCCCAAGACCCACGTCGTTGGGAACCGTGACTCCTGGAGGGCAGAGGCCCTTTCATAAACATGTTGACTTTGTTTACTCACGCAACTTTGGCAGAGTTCCAAGACTTTTTTTTTCACCAGAGTTTGTAAGGCATGATATTTGATGCCATTTTTTTTTCATATAGTCCATAATATATATTTTTGTTGGGTTAGATTGCGTAAATATATACGTGTCGTTAAACCCGCCACCACCCGATGCAACCAATTAGAAAGGTTTGTCACGTAAACACAAACATGCCAAATTTCGATTTAAAGCTTTCGTGACTGCAGGGATTCATCTTCTTGGTTCTTCAGACGCTGTCTTTCCGACAGCCCTGTTCTTCACCTGAGGACGGCTGCTTGCGTTGTGGCCGAAACGTCGTGAGAATTGTATTTTATTATGTTTTATTTTTATTATTTTATTATTTCCCTTCTACATGACTTTACCGAAAGAACCAAAAAGACATCACCATTAACTTCACCATCACTATCAACTCCACCATCAACTTCTACCATCACCATCAATTCCACTATCACCACATCACCCATCAAATCCACTACCACTATCATCACCACATCACCATGAACTCCACCATCACCAGATCACCAACAACTCCACCATCACTGCCATTACCAGATAACCAGCACCATCAAATCCACACTCAACACATCGCCGCCAACTCCACCAATTCAATCATCTCCACATCAGCATCACAATGAACTCCACCATCACCAGATCACCAACAACTCCACCACCACTGCCATTACCAGATAACCAGCACCATCAAATCCACACTCACCACATCGCCGTCAACTCCACCAATTCAATCATCTCCACATCAGCATCACAATGAACTCCAGTAGCTACACGGCTGGGGGTGCCCTCATTCAGCAGTGGATTTAGACCATGGCTGCTGCACATGTACATTGTAGATCTGTGCAATTCACCTCTTTGATTTCGATGGTACTCTCTTGTGTGTTCCGGTGTTATGACTATTTCATCATTTTACTTACAAAAGTAATCTTTCGATTTTAGCAATAATATGTTTCGTGAGTTTGCATGATTGATTTAAATTGATACTTGATAATAGATGTTTGATTAAAAAAAAACACAATCTCAGTGCACCAGGCTTTATAGATTTAAAAATAACTCAAGCATTGCAATTCTTCTATATATTATATGTGAAAGCCTTCATCCAGCAGTGGTTTGACAAAGGGATGTACATTATCATTGACATGAATCAAACTTAAA